CAGTGGCAACGCAGGAGGACAATGCCGCGCTGGTGGAGGACTGGAAGGAAGCCGTGAAAGACGTGGTATGGGTGCTGTCGAACGTGGGCAAGGTTGTCGGCGCGGTGTACGTCAAATTGTTGGCTTGTCTTGGTGCGGGATGGGAGCTAATTGAACTATTCACAGGGTCAAGAAAGTGGGCGCAGAGAGTGGCGCCACGACGGCGAAGGGACCAGCCAGGGTGTCGAAGAGGAAGGGGGATGAGAAGGAGAATGAGGGAGATGAGGCAGGAGAGCGGCCCAAGTAAGTTCTGGCCGCATTTAGACATTACGTATGGAGCTGATCGCCGCTGCAGGAAACGCCCGCGGAGAAAGACGTAGGCGTTTTCATAGACAGGTTTGGGGTCCGATGTTTTAAGTGAAATGAGGTCGTGTTGTGGTGGAATGCACTCAGAAGGATGAAAAATATATATATATATATTGACTAGGTGAGATTTACGATAACTCAAGTGAGTCGGAAGGTACACAGACTGCGCGATGAGGGATGTTGAGTTTACAGAATATGACAGCAGCATAAAAACATACTATATCTGCTCAAATGGAATCAAGGCGATGGGCCAATGGACCACGCGGACTCGACGCTCTCGCCGAAGGTGCTGAGGCCATGCAGAATGCGGGGCGAAGCCCCGTGAGCAGCGGCAATGAGAGCGACGAGGAGCATGATAGCGAGGCCTTCACGTTTGAAGGCGCAAGCGGGTGAGTGAACCGCGAGGTAGCCTTGCCAGTGGTGGGGCGTGGGGCCGAGGATGACGGGAAGAGGCGGGTCGGGGGCGCACGCGGGCGGGTTTGGAGTGGGGGGAGGTTGCATACATCCTTGGGGATGAACGTGAGCATACGGGGGCCGCCAGCAGGGCCAGTGCATACAAAATGAGGGCGCTGGGAAGAGGACGGCAGGAAGAGGCTTCGGTTATACACACGCAACAACAATCAAAGGCAGTAGTAGCCGGCTGTGGAGGAGAGCTGCCACATATGCCGAGGATAAAAGCCGCTGATGGCCCGACCATTTATAGGGCCGTTTCCGAATGCGGTAACACGGAAGGTACATAGCTATATTGCGGCCATTGGCCGCGCGCCCAAGGTGCGCCTTTATAGATATATACCGTGTGGCCACAGCAGTCTATATAGATATAAAGGTACAGCTACACCTCTACTCTGGACAACAACACTTTCGAGTATCTCCAGAGTAACTAAATTTTAACCTCTCAACGCTTAGCTGTGACACTGGCCTCGAGTATGGATATTTCTTGACACAGGTTGGCAGTCTGCATGGTGGGGGAGGGGACAAAGAGTGGCATATGTCTTGTTAGACAACTCTGCCTGCACATCTTCCCCTGAAATACCCCTGGAGATCACAGGACACCTGATAGTGGACCCCAAATGTGGAAGTGTTTTATTTGGAGCGGATTCTCACATGCTTCTGCCATCGTTCTACATTCTCACATTTCCTTACAGCAGAGGCAATATTCCGGACTACCTAGGGTTAGGGCTTCCAAGCGGTGTTTTCTCATTCCTTCTGTGTTTCCTGGCTCCCCTTAAGTGGTCTTCCCAACACCTGGGATAGAACCACCCACAGACATCAAAACTCTATCTCCCCACCACAAAAGAGCACTTACCCAAGCAATTTTTCATGCCACACATGCAGTCTAGTGTGCCGCTTGGATGTTCCGCATCTCTGTCCATCTTCTACACGCTTTGAGTATTCAAGCCATGCCAGGGACATGCAACTCACCCATTATGCTATGCATATCTGCTTACCAGCTTCAATGTCCCTTGAGGCAAAGAATACTGGTTGTTGACGTCCAGCTGGTCAATATAGCAAGGGACAGCCACTGCATTTGATTCACATAGTGTGTCAACCCAGGTCAGGCCATGCAATAAGAACTGCATGAACATTACTGACTCATGTAGTGTCTACAGTGTATTTCTGTGACGGGTCTCGGATATCCCAAACGAACCGTCGTTCAACCGGCGGTTGTACACCTTAGTATTATCTTGTACCCTTTTTCTTTCTATCTTTACGACTTAGCTTGCGCGCGCCTATGCGCGCACGGGACGATATGTATCTTGATTAGGACTTGGCCCAGGTCTAGACCTGATGAATATCACTTCTATCCCTTCACTTTGTACCGCAACAAGGTCGTCTAGCAAGTACTCTTAACTACTTGCTCGAGTCCCCTGTGTAACGAGGTGAGCGCTAGACGGTCGCTGCGTACTAATACCATTCTCCCTAGCGACCCTACGTCCTAGCGAGAGTTCTCTAAAGGTGTTATATCCAAATGGCGGGGCAGAGTGCTTTCGGCCGGGGAGCGTGGAGTGACCGGAGATGACCGGTGACGGGGACGAGTGACCGGCGGAACGAGCTTTTCAGGCAATCGCGAGCCCCTACTGCGTATCCCAAGACTGAGCAGAGGACGACCGGTAGGATGACCGGTGCCGGAGGGGTACAATCGGATTTCTTCACAGAGGAGAAGTGAAGAGAACATTTATTATCAGACTGAAGAACAAGGATGTAGACTACGAGATTAAATAGTGTAAAGCTTATTGTATATGTTTAAGGGGTAAGAAGTAGGAACCATGTGGAAATAACAATAGGAGGTGATTCCAAATGGGGTTAAAGTGGCAAACACAATAACAGAGAAGTCTTGAACAATAAGGATGAGGTCCATTGGCCATAGGCTGAGGGCCTGCTGATTGTATGGCGCAAGGATGGTGCGATAAGACTCGAGAAGATCCCACGAGTATCCACCGGTCGGGTGACCGGTGACTACTTGGAGGTTTCTGGTGATGTCCTGGGCGTGTGCGTGCACGGATATAACAAAAGGATACGAAGCCTCGCTGCAACAGAGTTCTGTTGCTTAGCAAGGCTTCGGTGTAGTGGAACACCATTCAGACAGGGAACACGAACACTCAATCGGTGGACTCGCGCATTCACTCGCCTGGCGGCTCCCTCAGCGTGCCCCAGCTATAAGTATTTGTAGCGTGTTCCGCAAGTCCTACAATTTCACTTGTTCCACTGGATGGTTGAACACCAGTTCAATCCAGAAGTGTGTGCTGGCCACCACGTTAGGAGTTTCAATCATTACAACTGAATGCCTACACACAGTCTCTTTCAGGCTTATCAGGTCTGTCATGATCTGGGCATTATCTAGTATATATAGGCTGGCCAGGTGATAAGCCTGAGCTTATTATTGAGACCTTTTGGTCTAAAGGTATTGTGCGCTGGCCAGCCATTTCTAAATCCTTACAAGCTCACCCCTGAACCACACACACCCAAAAAAGCGAACTTCCTACTCCTCAGAAGGATAGCATAAATTATACCTTTCTGCAACAAAATATGTCTGAGCATGATGTTCACAAATATACATGGACAGAAATGTGCGCTCGAAGGATACCTATATATACACCTTTCTACTCCTACATATTTCTTTCCAATTAGTGAGCAGTGAAAGGGACAGAGAAAGACTCACAATAGGCAGCCCTTTCAACAGAAGCTGATTGATTGCCTTTCAACAAAGTCCAAAAGGACTGCTGAAAGACTTGCTTCCTGCAACCCTTCCGGCAATGCATAAAGGATGGAATCACTTGTCCTTTATACTCTGCCAGAAGGTAGACAGAAAGGCCTACGATAAGTGGCCCTTTCAGGCTTTGAAGAAAGGGACTCAATATATTTTCCTCAAAAGGGCTGTTTATTGTCAGTCTTTCTATATCCCTTTCACTGCTCACAAATTGGAAATAAATAAATTGCGGTAGAAAGGCTTGTTTATAGTAGTCCCTTCAGTACCCATTTCTGTCCATGTATATTTGCAGACATATATTTTATTACAGAAAGTCATACTTTATGCCAGCCTTCCTAGGTAAGTAGGAAGTTTGTTTTTTTGGGTGTGACATGAAAAATGTGTGGGCCTTGATCTCCCCCACTGCATAAACACCTGGCTGCAACATCAGTGTGCAAGGAGTGATGCAACCTGTCTTACCCCAGCCTGTTCCTTTCTCAAACTGCACCTCAAGGTCCAACTTTGGTCAAGACAGGTAAGGAACTCACTCAATTGCCACATTGCCATGCACTGGCAATCCAGTCCACACTCATTCACTGGCTTCTCCAGACTCCGGAGTCAACCTTGATTGCTATACCCCTGCCCCCCCTGAATGCATCTACACCTCCCAACAAACAAGACACAAGCACCTAGGCCTTCATCTGCCTGACTGCCTAAGCTGAATCATGCAACCATACATGGCTGCACCAGAAAAACAGCAGGCACATCCACCACCATTGTTTACCACCTGCAGCACAGCCTCATCCTTCATCAAATGTATGACCCTGCACCCATGCAGCTCTACCTTTGTTGGCCATCACTTTTGCATTGAGTCCAGTGGGCCCTGAGCCCCAAGGGATATCCAGGTGGATGCTACATGGTGGATGAAGACAAGTGGTGCCTTGATAGGGGATTGATTGCCTGATTTCCATTGCACCCCATATCAACACAAATCACAACCTAAAATGGTGCATGCTGCGAAGAAGCAGAGGGAAGCTCCACACCATCACATAGATGTTCTGGCTTTGATAATTTTTTTTCCTAATATCCTCATTATGGCACCTGCCAACATTTTATGCATCCTCCACCTCTCACCACCCATGGCTTTCACCTATATCCTTCATCTCTACACCTCAGCATCTCCCACATGTTTGGTGCCTTGGTTGCTATCACTCTGTCTTTGGGACCTTCATCCTATCTCCCGTATTGATTATGCACAGCAGCCATTACTTGTTGGTACAGTCTGAACCATGTGGAACTCTGAACTGGGTTATTCAAGCGCTCATCCCAGCTGGGATCTGGACATCAGTACATCACTAGGCCAACCTGGGACCAGTGCTGACAAATCCCAATGTTTCTTACTCAGTTCAGGAACCTTCTGGAAATTCTGTATTTCTTTTTTTGTTCTTCTTATCACACTGATATTCACGGTTGGATGGCCGAGCGGTCTAAGGCGCTCGACTAAGGATCCGCTCTTGTTTGAGAGCAAATTTTCTTATGGGAATCTGGTCCTCCGGGGCGTGGGTTCGAATCCCACTCCAATCATTTTTGTGAGATTCGGACAAGCACGTGAGATAAGTTCAAAGCATATATTGATAGGCTTGCTCTGCTGCAATCCTAACAGAGTACCTACAAACAAGTACGCTACTTATATACTAATTCAACATGGTCCGTGCACTTGTGAATGAGTGAGTCAAGTCGATGATGAGCCTGCATGGGCGGGTCAATTTCATGGGACGTGGGCAGTTGCGGAACCACGTACTGGGATCTTGATTCCCTTGTCCCACTCGACAACCAGTACAAGTACATTCCTGAATTCATTTTATGGAGCCACAACAACGACTCGTACTTGGGAGATCAATTGTGAAATCAATTGTGAGTGGGGGCAGCATAATTTGGCGCAGCCCTCAGGTGCTAGGGACCAAAAAGACCAAGGGTGCATTGTTGCTGGCACACTTCATGTCAGGACCAGCATTGGCTTGGGCAATGGTTTACAGAACCGTACCTCGACGCACACCTGTCCTATCGCACAATTGTGAAGACCTCTCCTCACTTCTGCTGCTGTGCAACTCTGCAACATTTCGTCTGTCATTGCCCAAATCGCTGGCCAGACTCACCATGTCAGAAGAAACCCGGAGTTGTGCCCTCAATCCAGGTTTGACATCCTCCAGTGGCGCAAAGGGCACTCACTGGGCACTGTCGTCTAGACAACTTCTGGGGATAGGGGCGTGGCCTGTTTGTATCTTGACTTCCTGTGATGCTGAGACCCCCTTCATCCTTTCAGGTAGCCTCTTTGTGAACAGGCAGTTGTCATGTTCACTTGTCTCGCCGGCCAGAATTTCAAAGTTGATCATAGATGCAGGCAAAACACGGAGATAAGCCATTGATATGTTTTGCCAGTGTTGTGACAGAAATTTATGCTTTGACTCTAACTTTCACCCTACTGGCGCTGCCAGGGAATTCATTTCTGGCAGGCAGAACACGGCCCACCCAACAGGCAATGCATCCTGCCTGAATATATGACCAACTCTGTCGCTCTGATGTAGCCCAGGACATGGATACGAGTATGTTACTGTCTTCTTGGTGGCATCAGAGTAAAGTCTGGTTAACGAGACTAGGATACGAGGGGATTCAGGCCAATCAAATCCCTCCTCATGTCGTGGAGGGGTGGTTTCCGCCAACATTCGGGAACTCAATCGCTCTCAAATTACTGCCTCTCCAGAAAAAAACTTGTAACTTGCAATTGATTTTCACGAGATGAGGGCAATGTGTGAAGTGAATCCGGATGCGCCTGCCTTGCATCCTTGGTTATAATTAATTTATTGTACGCTGAGTACCTCATGTAAATGTGGGACATGCTTGCTGTCGGAATCGTACTTGCAACACACCAGGACAAGATTCAATAAATGTACAAAATTGCAGCCCGTGCAGTCTCTCCCTTGCCACAATGCGCACCACAGTAGTACAACTTATGGCCAGCTGTTACATCCATGCAAATTCACATCCTCAAGACCACCCTGGACCTTGGACCTCACCCCGGCACACTCTGGCCCTACCGGTTGTATTTTGAACTCCGGGCTACTCCGGTACTCAACCATGGGACCCTATGTCACCTTATCGCGCCTTGGGCCTCAAGGCCGGGGTGCGAGTGGGTCTCAACTTCTATCGCAACGTTTTGAACTTCTTTCTTATTGTTACTTCCTTCTAACCCCTTTCGGACTCAACTCTTATTGTTTTATTCTGCCTCACCTTCAAACTATCCCCTTGACAAAGTACAATAGACTTCCTCTTATTTAATCACCTAAACTACTTCCTGTTCTTCAGTTTGTTAATAAACATTTCTTCACTATCCTTCTGTGGAGAGCTCCGTGGATACTCTGATCTCCTCCAGTCATCACCTCTACCGGACTTGTCCCTCTGTCCTGCTCGAAGCCCCATGCAGCAAGACTTGTGCAGCGCAACTGTCACGTAGTCTTTCCACCATCGTCCAGCCCTGTGCACCCACTCCGGTTACTCTGATCATCTTCCGGTCGATAGTCTCTTATCTGTCTGCACGGATATAACACCAGCTTCTGTGCTCAGCGACATGTAATTTTCGTTATTCTGGCCCTCGGGAATGCTTTGTCGACTTCCTAGCTCACAATTTGAAGGTGTTTTGGCTGTTCATGGAAAAGGATTACAGCAGCAAGCAGATAAGAGTTACAGTGGGAAGACTAATTAAAGCACAGGTGATGCCGTGTGTGGTGCAAGAAACCAAGACAGGGAGGCTGGATGTCTTGTCAGCATACACATGTCCATGATGTTAGGAGGTGGATGTACCGCTCTAAATGTAGGGGACAAACTTTGGCAAAGACTCCCCCATTAGTCGAGCGTCGCTGGCGGATCTTCTTTGCATGTGCCGACTATCCTTTGTACGTTGCAGAACCTCAAAAAGAGTGGTGGCTTGTGCTTGGGGTAGCACACTGTTAAGCTCAGCCAGGGTCGCCTCCTCCAAGAAAAGATGATGCGCCAGGATGTTGCCGAGGGCCGTTGTAGCCACCCGGAGTGTTTCAATGGACACCAAAATTATGTAGTCCAGGCAATGCTGGCTGTACATGTCAGCGCTCCAGCCCTCTTTTGCAACCTGGTCAGCGCTGCAACAACGGCCAATCAGTTGAAGAATGAGGGAAAGCAAGCTTGTCTTTTGGACTTGCACAGGGGCAAACATTGAGGCACTTTGTTATATCCGAGCAAAGGGATATAGGGCTCTACGTCCGATAGCTTCCGATGGCTGACTGCGCATTATAGCGGAGGCAGAGCGGAGGTAGCGGAGGCGGAGATGGTGCAACACCACAGGGGGTTAAGGGTGAGGAATCCTATCCAGGTTTGGAGGGAGGATGCGTGAAGGGGAATGGAGCCTGCAAGCGGAGGAGGGACGGATGAAGGAGGGATGAGTCCGCAAGTGGATACTCGGATTGTTCCACAGGTGAGGTGAAACAATGGTTATTAACAAACTGAAGAATAGGGATATGCTAAGTCTTATCTTTACGTAATATGAAACAGATTATATCCAGGGTAACTTAACAATAGACTTAACCCTAGCCATGTGGACTTATCTATTGATTCTTTTCCGATATTGATCTGGATAGGTCAACTGACTTTCTTGGCACGCATGGTGAGCACATGGGCCAATGGGAAGCCTGGGGAAAGTGGAGCTGAGCGTGGATCTACACGAGGCCCTCCCTGGTATGCCCTGTCCCGGGTCTGCCTGTCGGGGCTGAGGCAGAGCGGAGGCGGAAGGGTGGCGGAGTCTAGCAGAGGTCCATCCGTGCTCTCTCGTGCATGGATATAACACGGTATTTGGACCAACCGTGGAATTGTCAGCATTGGTCCTGCGATGGCAGTGCCTCTGTTTTGTCTGGTGTTTGGAAGACCCGTCAGCTTGAACCTCGTCGCGGACCGCAGACAGACATTCACATATGTCATAAAGCTGCTGGAACTCAAGCCCTGGGCATGTGGATAGATATTGCTTCAATGTCTCCTGGACTTTGGCCAATCTGAGCGAGATGTTCATGGAAAAGGTATATTTCATTACATAATGCCAGGTCGCAATTTTGCCCTACTCATGCCAGGTTGCCACTTTGCCCTACTCATGCCCACGGAAACGACTCAAGTCTAGTAGTAAAGAATGGGCCACGGCGCCAGGAAGCTGTGCTAGATGGACCAAGTGGAGAAATCTTCTTCTGTGATATAGACTGCGAAGGCGGCTGATGAATTCAACCATGAAGGCATGCAACAGGTCCATCAGCAGGCTGAGGGGCAGTATCTTCACACGGCTTCCCAAGTGCGAACGAACATACATACCCAGTGGTGCGAGGGTGAGCAATCCAAAACTCTGACTGGAGCAGCTCCAGTAGTTCTGCACCCATTGGAATCCAAATTTGAATCCTAAGAGGATCAGTTTCAATGGGTTGCAGCACTCTGGTTTGTAGGGAACCTACAGAATAATGGTGCATCCGCCATGGCAGGATGTATGAGTGTCACACCTGTGACAAGTCACACCCGGCGCACACCGCCATGACAGACAACGGCTGGTCCGCCATTATACACGACCTGGACAAACTCTTGCCGGAATTCAACGCTACACTGTCCCAGGCGGAACTAGAGGTCATCACAAAGTGTTTAGCCAGCATGGAGTGTGAAGTAGATCCTGCGGTCAAAGCCAATTGGGATCACGTAGGTGTCCCGGTACTGGCACGCTGCCTTGTAAAAAATTAGGCTAGGCGGATCTCCACAAGCGGCTCCGAGGAATATTTGCAGCACAGGAGCTGGGGCTGGACACGGATAATTGCAAAAACACGTGGATCTCTCAACCGACAGGCTCGCATCGCGAGCAGGAAGATGCTGCCCTGAAGAAAGTACTGTGCGGGTACTGCAGCAACCTGTTATATCCGAGCAGGGATATAGGAGTCTGGCCGACCAGTCAGACGGATCTCGGGTAGAGTATCGACCGGAGAGGGGACGTGACCGGTGGACTAGATATTGCAACGCCACAGAGGGGTAGGGCGAGCGACACTATCCGTTGATCCCAGGAGAGGACCGGATGGGGGGACAAGACGACCGGTGAGGACCGGTGACTCGGATTGCTGCACAGGGAAGGTGAAGCAACGTTTATTAACAAACTGAAGAACAAGGTTGTAGTGTACGAGATTATATAGTAGTGAAGCTTATTGTATAATATAAGGGGAAGGATAAAACGTCCATGTGGATGTAACAATAGGGACAAGAACCCATATGGGGTTAGAAGTTCAAACACAATAGTAGAGAAACTAACAATAAGAAAGAAGACCTAGCACCACATGGCTGAGGGCCAGCTGGTGCTATGGTGTGACTATGGTGCCATACGATGTCCACGAGGTATCACCGCGCCACCAGTACCGGTCGTGGCTAGCACCGGTCACTGACCGGCGCTACCGGTCGTGGTCTTGAGTTGTCGAGGCGTGTTCTGAAGGTTGATTGTGCATGGATATAACACAACCGCAACAACTGGGTGAGTCAAACATCAG